ATTATTTCTCATCCTTTAAAAATCCTTAGGTTATTATAAATTTAATTCTAAAATATTTTTTTCAGTTTTATTATTAGAAATTATATAAAATATTTTGTAATAATTACAATATCCTTTATCATTGTTTTTTTTTTCTAGAATGAGTATAAAGTACATTAATTCACATCCTTTAAGAATCCTTCACAATTACTTCTAGAATGTGTATTAAGTACATTATATCACATCCTTTAAGAATCCTTTACAATCCTTAAGTTATTACCAATTTATCCTTCATCAATTAAATCTATAATGTTTATTAAGTACAGAATTTCACATCATTTAATAAAAAAATGAAAACATTTTTCTTATTTTATTTTTATTAAATTAAATACAGTACAAGATTACTAAACATAACGAATTTAAAATATTAGTTACGTTTGAACGGTTATTCTTTTTTGTATTATATACATTTTACAGTAAGCGATTTATACCATGAACAAATATATCGAATTGCTACAAATGCATTATTTCTTTTCTCATTCAATAAAATTTCATTGTAATTTTTTTTTTATTATTTCATTTGTAGTTAAAATGTATCTCTGAAAGTACATTGAGTTAATCACATCTTAGTATTAATCTTTTAATTAATAATTCAACTTTATCATTGTTTTTTTTTTCTAGAATGTGTATTAAGTACATTATTTCACATCCTTTAAGAATCCTTTACAATCCTTAAGTTATTATCAACTTATCCTTCATCAATTACTTCTAGGATGTGTATTAAGTACATAGTGGCCAAACTGTGGCTCGCGAGCCGCATGCGGCTCTTCAAGAGTCTTGTTGTGGCTAGTTGAGACACCCCTGTTATATATAATACTTTAAAATTCCAAAAATCTAGATGTAAGTTCTCATCAAAACTCTTCCTTTTTTTCAATCAACAAAATATCTTCAATTGCAATATTTTTTAAATTTATAATATATAAGAATTGTTATGTTATGAATTATTTGTGAATCAACTATAGTTTTTATAATTTTTTAAATTGAAATCTCAAACATGCAAATTTATCCACATTTTGCATTATTCTCTAAAATTGATTTAGACTAAAACTATAGTTTCACTAATCTTGTAATACTTACCATATTGTGTCGGCAATTTTACAAAGTATTATCGATTACTATCACCGAAATATCACACAAATTACCAAAAAAAATCTTAATCTAAAATTATCCATCGATATTTTCAATTATCTTACAAGTAACAAATAGTTTCTTTAATTTAAATCTCAATTACTTCACATTTGTCCTGAACTGCTTTTCTTTTCGATTTAACACAGTTTAAAGTAAAACGCTTAGTTTTTTTTTGAGACCCTTAAACGCATCACGGTCCAAAATTTACACGCTGCATTTATTTCTTTTTTTCAGCATCGGAATTCAATTTTTTTCTCATTACACTACAACTATGCGTTTTATATATATATAAATTGTTGTTTTCTTAACCAAAATAAAAACAACATAATTTCTAGTTTAAAGAAACATCGCATTTCGTTCTTTCTACCGTCAATCTAAAACACCCTTAATCGCAACACGGTTCACGATTTACACGCTGTATTTATTTAATCTTGTTTTTTTTTGCTCCATTCTCTACAACAAAAATCCTTTTTTTCTAACCTAATCCTAACCACACGTAATGCAAACGGACACAGAATTATAAAGAAGAGAAAAACAAGAACAAGTCCAGAAAAACACCGTGCAAATCGAAGCCACGTCAAGAGTGGAACAAGATGAAGTTGAAGGGAAATAAAATGAATGCAGTAACGATTTTTTTCTTTTAAAATTCCGACAAATAATTTGCTTAATAAACTCGATATTAAAATATTTGCGCAAACAAATTCGCTTGATTTTCCTACAAATTGTGAAGCGAGAAATAATGGCTTTTTAATGGGTTATTAAAAAACATTTTTTCTTTTGTGAATGAAATCTGGAATAGTAAATGGCAAAATTGAATATTCTCCTAAATAACAAAATAAAAGTTAATAAGAAAATAATCGTTAATACAATAAAAAATAATACAATTTATAAATTAAACAGAAACTAGATACGTAATTGACGCAAAAGTTTGCGCAAATCCCACGTGTTACATGCATCAAAACAATCGCACGTACCATTATATTTTTTTTTCTCTTATTATTATTACGTTTTGTTTCTTTTTTTTTTATTCGAATTTCTAATATACCATTACGTAAATTGCTGTTTGTCGGATCATCCTCATATCGGCTTTCAAACGTAATCAATAATTGCGCAACACACGCGTTTGCATTCGTGTAAAACAATTTTTACAACGAAACGAAAGTAGAAACAAAAGAAACCGCATCAATTTGATACATTTATTGAGGAACGCCATTAAAAGCTCATCAGATTTGTCGCGTGTTTGCGCAAACGACGTTTATCAAAAAAATTCTCACTTACAATTTGTTTCACTTTAATAATTATAATGAAAGTTTTTAAACAAAAGTTTGTTTTTTTTTTCATTTAAGTTATTTTTGTTGTATTAAAATGAATCATTTGTTTAGCTTCATTAATTGCAAGTTTTTAATCTCAGTTTTTAATTTAATCTTAGTTAGAAATACAAAAAGCTATGCAGATGAAAGATGAGATTTCGACAAATTAAAAACGTTATTAATCTTACATCGATCTTAAGTTTAATGATCTGTTAGAGATGAAAGCAACAACAACAACAAAAAAAACAACAAATGAGCTCGCATTGTCTTTATGTGCTTCCACTTCCATTAGTTGAAGCGATAATCAATGGAATTAATTAAAGTCCTGCTGATGAAATATTTTGACGAACTTCATGATTAATTAACGACAATCTGATGACACGCCATTCCCTAATTCGACTCGACAAATTGAATCACAAATGGGCTTAATTAAGGACGCGTACGGCAAACCCTTAAAAAGAAAGAGTATATTTTATTTTTACGTAATGCACTTAGCGGTTTACCGCCGCGGTCTTCGAAATAATTGCAAATTTGTTGTTCTATAAACCGAAAGCCGTTTAAGTTGTGTACATTTGTTAATATGTTTACGTTTATATTTTAAGCTTCCATAATCCGATTTGTCGAGACTATAAAAGCTTAGTTTATTAACCAAACTAAGTTGTTTATACCGTGGCATGATGTCACGTCGGACGTAATTTTTATGGAAATTTATTGCAATAAAAGTTTCATTTCATCAAGTTTCCAGACTGCGCATTTATTTTCTTTTTTGTATTATTTTGTAAAACGAAATACTCTGTTATTAAAAGCGTGTTAATAAACAAATCAATTAATTAGCTTTGCCGTATAAAAACGTGCGTTACGTAAAATGTGACTACTTTTCTATCACTTACCCATTCTATGATTATTCATAAATCTACGGTATATTTGTTGATTGATTTTTTTTTCTTATATAATTTTCGAATGTACGTAGATCTAAGCTGTGAACTATTAATTACTGGCGCTTAATGAATGGAAATGTGTTTGTTTTAAGTTCTCGCATTATTTATGCATACCTCACGTTCACATATATTATTTATAAATTCACACGATGTTTGTTTTTCTCGCTCGAGGCGGCTCTCGCTTTGTTAAAACGACGATAGCAATTAAATGGATTTGCGAGCGAGCGGCGCGCGACACGCCGAAGGTTAAACGCGTTCTTTTTTTATATATATCCTGAAGAATCTGCGACAACTCTGATTTTATTTATTTGAGTATTTCCATCTTCATGTTAAAGGCAAATTTAATTCAAATCATTTGGAAATCGTGAGCTGAATATTAATATGACATTTGTCCTGTATTTCATTTGAATTGAAATAAAATATTTTACTTATTATTTGTATTTTTTCTAATTGCTTCATAAAAATTTGAAAATTCCATCTATTTGAGTATTTCCATCTTCATGTTAAAGGCAGATTTAATTCAGATCATTTGGAAATCGTGAGCTGAATTTGTCCTGTATTTCATTTGAATTGAAATAAAATATTTTACTTATTATTTGTATTTTTTCTAATTGCTTCATGAAAATTTGAAAATACTATAAAATTTGAATTATTTAGTATAATTACTTTTTTAGTAAAATTTTATTTGTCTAATAATGAAAAATTGTAATAATAATAGTATAAGATGAATAAGAATGAAATTAATTTATTTTAAAAATTTCTTTTAAATTTTATTACTAAAAAAACTTTATATTTATGTCAATTGAATGTTGATTATATTAATTAGTTTGTGTATGGTTGTAAATCGTTAGTAAAAAAAAATCGTAAAATAGTTTGTAGTGAGTTGAAGTTGCAAAAGCAATTCAGTTTATTGGCATTTTCAAAAATGAGTTTCGCGTTTCGAATTGAATGAGATTGTCTTGTCGGTGGTAATAACGAGGGATGACATTTAGTTAATATGTCTATTTATGGCGGCGTGTCAGTTTTATAGCGCTGTCGGTGAAGAGCTTAGATTAGCAACATTGTTGGAGACAATAAAAGCTATTTTTCCCTTCGCATCTTTTATGTGTAATGGATTGTGGCGAAAACCGCAGATGGATTATGAAATCCGTAAAAAGTGTCGTAAATCTCGACATCTAGTTTCTGGGAATGCTTGCGTGCTTACAAAGTCGCTGGAGCTTAATCTGATTTGCTGCTTCTTCGAGTTTTTGTTGTTGTTGTCGTCGTTATTGTTTTTTTTTTTTATTTATTTCAGTCTTTACATCATCTTCTTTTTTGCCTTTCCTGCTGAGGAGCACACTTTGTATTGGGCTCATCTGCGGCGCGTCTTCTATTCTCTTTATTAGTTTGTGAAAATGTTAAGAGGCAATCCCGTTCGCAGCATGTCGACAGCGAGCGTAATCCCAGCGATTTGATGATTAGTAAAAAAAGCGATCAAGTTTTAAACAATCTTTATTTGCTATAATTAGGTACTTAAAGTACATTTAACACAGGTATATATAATACATTTACAGTATATGCAATAACTTGTGAAGTTACTAACCATTCATACATTGAGAGCATCGCCGGAGGAACATGAGGAGGTGTCCAAAGCCTCGTCCCGCGTTCTTTGAGAGATCACACTGATCGGAGGCAAACCCTTCTTGTCCTGCCTATCACACTCACGGTCAGTCTCGAAGTCCAGGGTTCCGCCGGATCCAGAATGCACGGGACTGGACATTGGCAGGGTGTATTGCACGGGGATTGGCACGGGGTGGTATGACCCGGGGAACAGAACACTGGGCACTATCGGGTGCGGCTTGATCACACCTACACCAGGGTTCAACGTGGCTGCACTAGCACTATTCATCGACATCAGAGCTGCGGCATACTCAAAGAGGGCGGCCTGCTGGGCAGCGATGAACTCATCCCTATTCATCTCCTCTAACCTGGTGGTCGTCGCCGTGGGCAGTACGCTGGTCCACGGCAACCTCGGTAGCTGCAAATTGCAAGCTGGTATTGGAGGCGGCGGATGTACTGGACTAGTCGCGGGCTTATTGTCCGATTGTATGATGCTGTCTATGCTGAATGACTTGATGGGAGTCGTGCTTGATTGGGTTATTGGCGCTATTGGTAGAGTCATACCGACGGTCATGGGACAAGCTGTTGGAGGAACTCGCGGTAAGCAGCTGGACGAACTAGGTCCTGTGATGGGCGCACCGAAATTGCTATTCTGCAGCTTGCTCAAGCTGTCCAGCTCTTCGTGCACGTGCTTGGGTAGTTTGAATCTCTTCCTCCTCCTCAGGAAGCTACCATTCTCAAACATATCTAAAGCCGAAGGGTGCAGTGCCCAGAACGCGCCTTTCCCGGGTCTATCGGGTCTCCTAGGTATTTTGATGAAGCAATCGTTAAACGACAGGTTGTGCCTTAAGGAGTTCTGCCATCTCTGCGTGTTGCGACGATAGTACGGAAAACGATCAGTAATGAAGCGGTAGATTTCCGACAACGGCAACATCTTCTCCGGCGAACTCCAAATGGCCATGGCCGTCAAGGAGATGTACGAGTAGGGCGGCTTCTGGTCTCCGTACGTCTCTCGCGACGGCCGCGGCATATCTGCAAAATCCGTTTTAGGGAGAGAAAAATAAACTGTTACAAACTGTGTTCAATGTTCTTGTTCCGTTCGTTAGCCTTTGTTTGATACCAAAAAAGTTGGAATCGCGTGATCCACCATGCCCCGAAATTACTCTATCAAACATAGCGCTCGAAATTCGATTACACAGCTGACGCGTTTTATTAATAGCGGCAAAATAGAGGGACGTACTACAATCATTTATCATGGATACTTTATAGTTTGATCGTTAATTAGGGTCCTTCATTCTACTGTTCGAACATTTATAACTCGCTCTTAATTACCGGCCATTCATCCGTTGTTTCTTTTATTTTTCGACATAAAAACACTTAACTTAGCCGTGTTTATAATCTTATTTATAATCTTATACAAGCAAACTGGGCCAAAACCTATTATGCATATCTCCAGTTTGTACTACGATAACAACAATTACATCCTATTAAATCTTCAATTTACCTGATTTTGCGGTGCAGCTCCTCTATCTCCTCCAGCTCTTCCATCGAGATGACATTATCCGTATTCAAATCTTCTTTTCCTTTAGGACTACTACAACTCACATGTCGCCACTCATCGTCAGCAATAGGATCTCTCTCCGTTGGATCGTGCGGTGCGGTGGTAGCGTATTGTCGGCAATGCTTTGTAGTTGACTTAACAAATCGGTTTATCTGAGGGGGATAACACCGAAAATCGGTTTGAGTTTGTGCTCATGCTGGAATTATGGGTACGCAGTCTCGGCCCCACCTTTCAACATCCATTGGTCCTCAAGCACAGGTTAATCCGATAGGAGGAGCTATCCTCAAACCGCGTAGGCGGGATTAACCATCGTAACTCCATTTTGTCTGTCGTCCTTTTTCCCCCTGCATAAACCCCGCCATACACACATACATGGATACCCGTATTAATAATCATTCCACCTTTAGCAGGATGAACGGGAAAAATCCCAGCCAGGAATTCCGGAAAATTCTCATACGCAAAAACAACATATTCTTCAATTATCACTAATTGCATTTTAAAAAGCAAGAAACCGTTTGCGTTTTTATTGCTATTCTTTTTCCTTGCTTCTCTTCTTTTCGCATTGATTGTTTTGCGTAATTAAAATTTTAAAATCCTGAAATAACTGTCTGTAACGACTGCGGCAGCTTTTTAATTACCTGTGACTTGTTTAAAATCGTCGTTCAAAATTAAATTTAAATTTGAATTCCGTTGCGTTTCAATTTGTTCAATAGTTGTATTATCCTGCGAGATTGGCAGGACGATCGGAGATGGTAACTATAGGCCACCGATGATACTTCCCCTATTATAGGCAATGTAATATGCACAGTATATTTCCTGTAGTTGTCAAAACAAAGTTGTGTTAGTTGGTGTTATTCAGTGTTAGTATTTCCATAACCTCAATCAAAGCCAATTTATCTGAGATTTAGTTTAAGTTCAACTAAACAGAAAGATGGCTTTGGTTGCGTACGGCAGTGACAGCGAATCTGATAATTATTCAGACCATGATGAGGATAAACCAGGTACTGTTACCTTGCTACAGAAGTCATCCAGCAATGAAGCACAAAGTTCTGACAAAATAGAGGAGGGGCCCGACACTCTTTTCAAGAAATTGCCTGATCCCAAAATGGATACTAATCCAGACATTGAGGAGGAGGTTGATGAGTTCTTGATGAAGAAAGAAGTGGCTCTTGAGAAACCTCAGAAACTGAAGAAAATCATTAAGATTGGAGTTCCTGCACTTGAGCAGTTTGACAGCGATGAAGAAGATGCTAAACCATTAAAACTTCGTTTACAAGCTTCTGTAAGTTTCATCTTATCACATAACAATACTTTGTATTAATGTTTTCTTCAAACATTTTTAGAAGGCGAGTGGCTTGTTTGCCATTCTTCCTGCTCCGAAGAATGTGCCTATGACAAACAGAACATTTGTTCCAAATGTTTTGACGAAGAAGAAGAAGCCTACAGCTACTATAACTAGGCCCAAGCAGGAGACAAAGCCGAAAGTTGCTGAAAAGAGAAAACTTCCACAAGAGAGTGATGATGAGGATGATGATGAATCAAAGGTTGAGACTTTCGATGATGAAACTTGGAAACAAGTTTGTGGAAAGAAGAAGAAGCCTGTGAAGATTATCCCTGATGCAGAGGAAGACGCTACTCCAGATACAACTGTTGATTCTGCTCCTGATGCACAAGAACCATATGGTGGTTTGGACAATGAAGCTGTATTGAATCTATTTCAAACATTTTATGCATTTATTGATTTATATGATTATTTGTTCTAGTTCAAGCAGTTGGTTGGCTCTGGAAAATTGCATAAAGAAAATATCAAGTTGGTTGATATAAATGAAGCTGAGGTTTTGACAGAGAAGGATGCTTGGGTCACTAAGGCTCTCACTGATCCAGAGGCCAATCCAAAGGGTACTGCCATCAATGATCCAGTGAACAATACATGCAAGAAGAAGCACCACATCACATATCTTGCTCAACAGGTATGTGTTTTCTTTAGCTTTAAGTACACTAATTTATCATTATTACATTTAGTTAAAAGCTTCTATCTATGCTTAACAAATGTAATTTGTGGAGTTTACTAGGCAGATAAAAAAAAATGAGGCTTCTATCATACACCATATGGTTACATTAGAGTATAGGAACAACCATACTTGGGGGTTATATTATTAAATGATCAGGGTTGTCAAATTATTAGAAAAGGTATACTAAAATGTTAATTGTTGTTTGACATCCTTGATGAGCTAGAAGTACCAATCGGGCTTTAATTTGTAGAGGGTTAGGGTGACTATGGAACAAATAATATGAAGGTTATTAATTTTTTTTCTAGGCCAAAGCAAATGAACAAGAATTGCAGAATCAGTGGTCTGCCAGCCGGTTCTCCAGGAAGCAGACACAAGCCAAATACGGCTTTTAAATTATTAAGACTTTCCTGTTCCTTTTTTCAAATGAATACTATTATTTAATATATGTTAGGAATTAGAGAATAAATCTGAATGTATATATATATTATTTATTGACTAGTTAACTAGTTAAGTCTACATTAAATGGCAAATAATACAAACATGGTAAAAAGCTCATATAAAACGTATAGATATATATAAAAAAAAGTATATAAATGAAGACACACTTGCACATTCTCACATCACAAATGAACATCTTAAAGGGTAATTTAACAGCTAGTCTATACTATAAATCTTAACTATAGTAACTAAGTATAAGGTGAACAGAATGAGGCTTTCCTGCTTTGATCACAATTAAATAGATTCAAATGGTATGTAGCATATTCGCCTGATAAGCATTAGAGGTAAATGTGGGAACCAAAAGACAACAACGAGGAAGATGGGGCTGCATATGAGTAGCATCACTGCGTAGATCAGCAGAAGCCACATTGGGGCGCTATTATTTTGGTCGTACATCACTTCACAACACCTACCATCTCCACCTGAAACAGAAATAAACATAAAGCAAATGCGATTCTGCAAACAAAATTATGTGGGCTTAGCTTAGCATATATATGCCAGCCTCGTCCCCCCAATGGAGGAGGAGGAGGAGGAGGAATACTGTCGACCGCCTCAAAACGAATGTTCATTGTGTGTCTATCAAAAAATCCCCATCATCATTACAAGTGGGCCAAAATGCAAATCCCACCGACGACGAACATCAAGCATAAAATAAACACACGTGGATGCCCTTCAGGTGATACCACCGACACCGACCTTTTGACCCACTGCATGAGCAAAGAAAACGCTAATACTATCATGATTGTTGAATTCTTTAGAAACAATATTTGCCGTTCAAAATTACACACACACACACTATTAGATCTGTTACATCAAGAAATCAATTATCCGAGCATTCAGTAATAAATATAAATCATAGCTTAGCTTAAGTATGGTTTGCCGTTGATGAGGCTTGAAACCGACCTTGCGGTCGTTGTTCTAAACATTTCGTTGCTCAGCTTTTTAACTCAATGTGTCTATGTCGTTCTCCAGCAGCTATTAATTAAGATCATATTTCACCTTGGACCTTAGTCTCCTTGGGGTCAATTATATTCGCCAAATCTGTATTACTTGGTCTATTATAACAATGTATGTCTGTTCTCACAATGTATTTCGTTACTAAATAATATGTAACTGTAGTTTAGATCATTGTAAATGATTGTAATTCTGTAACATGTAACATGTACTAAATAAAAAACAAGAAAATAAATTGAACAATGCGTTGAATTTATCCGAACTGCGGAAAATTCTATACTTTATTTGGAAAGATTGGACAGTCCCCATATAGAATTTTAGGGAAGGTCTAGGATCAGGTAGTTTTACCTTTGTCAATTTGAACCCTTCAAGATAAGCTTAGTTATTCAAATTGAGAGAATAACTAAGAATCGTTGAAATGAAATGAAAAACACGTGGCGTTCATTTTCTCTCTCTCTCTTTCTACTTGAAAACTTGAACAAACAGTAAACACATTACGTTTTATGACTGATGGCATGTTTATTCATCGGAATTTTCTGTTTTGACCTCTAAGGCGTTGTTTTCTTTTTCCGTATGTCATTTGATCCGATGATATTGTTCGAGAGATAGCGTATATGAATTGAGGCGTGGTGTGCACATTTCCATGGCACTTGTTTACCTTGGATACAGCGTGTTCAAGTATCTAATTTTTGTCGAGATTCTACTATTTATGTTTTATATATCTATTATTTATAGTACTCATATTATCTGACAGATAAGTCAATCGTCAAACGACTATTGCATGCACAATTATTTCAACGTTGAGATTTCGATATTGTGTATATTTTTTTAGGTATGTGACGACAAACGTATAAATAGCCTACCTAAATATAGAAGGTCTGTTTGTAAACAGCAATGTTTATTTACTTGTCTCAGACCATCATTTCCATGCTAAGAAGAATCGAATGTTTGCGTTTCGTACGAGCGGTAGCCAAATCTTCCGCGCATCATGAAACTTGTTAATTTTATTTCCTGAACGAATGTTCTTTGTTGTTGGAAGCTGTATATACTTGCCAATTGTTTTTCTTAAGGAAGCAGTGAGGAAGGACGACGAGATTTGTTTGTTTTTTTTTTGTTCTCTTCTTGTGCGCGGCATTTAAACTGCGCGCATTGTCCGCAAAATAAGAAGTACTTACATAATCCAAAAGTAGGTCTCGCTTTCCTTTTCGTTGATCTTTGCATGAGGCTTCACCATGCTCGTGGGTTTCGATGGAGCATCCGCTGCAAATCTTGTTTGGAAGCGCTCCAAAAGTGATGCGAACAGACTCATGGTGTTGCTTATACTGAGGACTGCGACTAATTGTTGTTTTTGTTACGATAACAAAATCAGCTGGATAGGTGGCGTACCCGGGTGTTGTTGATGGTCGGTGTTAGAAGAGTACCATCATCGTCGTCGTCGTTGTCCTTTTTCAAAACGCAGGCAAACACAGACACATCTGGACTGGTTTTAAAAATGACACGCGCGAAGGCCGATTTTGACTTTCCCTCCGGCCTGCACGTAGACTACAACTATTTATCTAACGCGCTTCAAAATTTGTCGACCTTATTGGCAACAAAAGACTTTCCAATCTCTTGAGGCTCGTCTTGTTGCATAGGCTCGACTCCCACCAGTCATCTACTTTGTCGAAGCTTACTGGAAGCAATTATACCATTACACAAATTGATCTCGAATTACGTCTAATTGAACACATCAACTCAATTTCAAACTACTTTGATTACCGTGATTAAGAAACCGCACGTAACTTCTGCCGAAGGTGTTCTTAATCAATTTGCATTACTTATATTTACTTCACTTTACTTCCACATTGACTCATCAATCTTAAACCTATGCTTCACTAAACTTATCCAAAACTCATCTTTTCTACCATTCAATTCAAAACTTCCACTTTGACCTTTAAATGTTAATATTGTAACTTCTGGATAATTATTAAACATATGCTAATTACTTTAAATATTCGAATGTGCATATCATTAGTAGAATAAAATAAGGTAAGTTAGCTTCTTATGAATGATCTTAATATAATTCCTTTATTTGTTTTTTCAAGATTGAATTATAATAAGGAAAAATCTGCAACTACAAGACCTAAATTCATTTGGAGAGAACATTTAAATTATTAAGATATTACTAATAATAAGCTTTGTTTAATTCTTTACGTGAATTTTAAATGCTTTATTTGTTGAGATTCAGGTCAAAACTTGAATCATTTATAGAATTAACATATACTGTAATGGCTTGCTTGAATAATGCTGTTACTGCCTATAAATGCATTAGTTATTTGATAATAATTCAAAAATACCGCTTCTTTCACTACTGTTATTATGTAAAGTGGTAATTAACCTTTTCACCTCGACCATCATAATCTACTTATTCAGATGCGATCTAGGAAAACTGCACAGCTCGTCCTACAATTCTTGCGATATCGCAGTGTGTTAATTACATTTGTACAAGCGTTTTTTTTTTGTATTTATTTATTGTTCCAGATAAGTGGTTCGATTGGGAAATCGTCGATGGATGAGCTAAATTATCACCGTGGACTTTGATTTTATTGTACCGAACAACAATTACGCATTAATGTGTTTGCCGTCCGCAATCCCAATTAGCTTGAATTAATAACAAACATAATTTAATACACATGGAAATGCGGGATTATACGCTCTAATTTCGAGCGTGCAAATCTTTGCCATTACCGCATTACTCGCAAAATACCATTCCATCCATTTCAGCTACTGAAATCTGTAATTCATATAGGATTTCAAGTTAATTTTTAACTTTTACTTATTGCGGTCTCAAGTTTTATATAATTGTTCATTGAAATTGTAAACTTGGTTGCCTATATTAAAACATAGTTATATATTTTATATATAAAATATTTTTAACATTAAATACATACAATGAGTAATTTCTCTTCTATAGCCTATTAAAAATGATTTTAGTCTTAGAGAGATTCAAAAATTGGACAATATTTATTGATAATTAATTGATTTAAATGTTTTCTTTGAATTTAAAGCAGAAAGGTTATTAAAACACAGATTAAATTGTTTTATTTGAATGCATTAATCAGAAAGTTTTATATTAGCAAAATTTATGATTTTTTTTTTGATAATTGATTTTTTGAAAATTGTAAAGCTTAAAGTTGATTAAATAACGATTGACGGAAGAGCACAAGGTTCTATTGGATTGGAAAATGCGTTTGATAATTTCTAGGAAGGAATGAAAAACAATTTTCTTAATGGGAATCGCGATGAAAGGAAGAGCAACGGGGGTAACGGAAAAACTAATCCGGAACGCGTATGATTTATTCGGTTCGCATACGCGTTTCAATTTATCGCCGAATGATTTATTGACTAATCAGTTCTAATTTTGCTTATAGTTGTTTTTGGGGGTTGGGGGTGGGGGGGGGTGTAGGTTTGATGAGAGCGCAAGGAACAAGGCTACAATAGGGGTATATTTTGGGTGGTTGCAAGTTAGGGGTTTGTATTCATACCGCCCGATCTGAAAGGCAATTCGATTAAAGCAAATATATTCCGTATGGAATTGAACGCGATTTAATTGATCGAACTAGGCGCGCATGCAAATTAGCTAATTAAAATTAGTATCGAGCACCGTGCAAAAATCGTGGGGAGGCGGAAAAAGAAAGGGAACCTTAACGCCTTAACCCCCGCACCGGATTACGTAAGGCCAAAGTTACGTACTTTATATCTATATACTGCTTACTGCAGACTATGCTATGTATGTATAAACAGCCGCACAGCCTGTTTAGTGGTTGTACCTCGGAAAATTTCGCACGTGCGGTCTCGCATTCAGCTCAGAGGCTAATGACTAAAATTTAAACTAGCTAACTAAAAGCAAAACTTCTCGTCTCAAAATTATTGAGCACGCCCGTAAGTTTATTATCGTTTCGAATAAATAATGCGACGACACCCAAGCAATTAAAAATCGCATGCACTTGATTGCATTGCATGCTGAACAGGACCCAAATTCAAATATTTATGCAATACAAAAGCATTTACATAAGGCTTAACGATATTGCTTCTATCTGTTTACTATCTAAAGAAAATTACCTTAAGACATTGTATTAATCAAAGACGGCCCCTCCACTTATTTTTTTATATATAAAGGTATCCTCCACTTACGAACTAGTTCTGTTCCAAAGATTTGTTCGTAAGTTGGGGGAATTTTAAAATTTTTAAAATATACTTATCTTACCACACATTATCATGGTTTTTAGAGTTTCTAGAGTTAGAGCTTTTAGAATTTTGTTCTTAAGTCCGGGAGTTCATAAGTCGGGAAATACCTGTATGAATTAGTAAGAAGAATTTTGTGAAATATTTAATTATTATCAATTATTTACAAATTCCTTAACAATAATATTGACTACAATTATTTTTTTATTAATTAAAAAAAAGTTACCTTTTCAAAGTAGAATCGAATCACTAAAACACCAATCAAATTCACTAACAAATTTTCAAATTAATTATATTCAATAAAATTTTAAGTATGACTTTTGAAATAAGTTGAGATATTTGTCACAAACTAATATTTTGGTATTAAAACTACAGAATTCAACGATTCCAATCCAAGTTTCAGTTGAAGAGGTTATCATAATTTACTCGAAGTGAGGATATTCTTAATTTCTTATACAAGAATAATTTAATTAATCGACTTAACTTAAGAATTACAACATTATGAAATGAAATTAGTTTTAACTAGATGTTAATATAATTACTTTCATAACAGTTATAAGGTTAAACTGTATTTCATAACTGTAATAATTTACTCATATCGCTTAGATTATAATTAACTATTCGATATTATCCCCAAGTTTTAAAACAACAAAAAAATGAACTAAATATGCGTTTACCGTCATGCAATTGCAATTTATTTTCTAGGAAAAAAACAATTACCTTTATTATTTATTCATTCATAAAAGAGAAAATAACAACCATTTTAATTTAACTGGGACAACGTATTTAATATTTATTAATTTACATATCATTCGGAAAGAGCGTTTTTTTTTAGTTTTGTGAAAGATCATAGAGTTTTTTTTAATTAGACTGCGTTTATAAACATTTACTTTTATTTTTGAACAATGCACAATGAAACCCAATTAAAAATAATTATCAATTATGAGTGTACAAAGCGGATGATTCGAGTTAAACACAAACAGTTTTGAAATATTGTAATGATTTATTGTCAGGGCTTCATTTTTTTGTTGTTATTGTTGTTGTTGTAATTGAATATGCGTTTATTTTTAGTTACATTTATCCTTGTATTATTTTTTTTTGTTTTGTTTGTAGTTGAAATTAATGGAATTGCATTTCAGGCGGCTTCGACGGTGATCGAATCGTTTTCCACGTTGACAGTTTCCGGTCTGGGAGCGGAAACCTGCGGGGACTGCTGTAGCTGTTGCTGCTGCTGCTGCTGTACCGGAGGTGACGCTCCAAAAACTGGACTCGAGGCTATGAACTGGTGGTGGTGCTGGCCGAAGTACGTGGGAGCTGTGATCAGCGGGTGGTAGTATTGGGGCTGGATTAGATGGAACGGATAAGGTGAATAGGTAATAGCCAGTGGATGAGCCACAGGTTGGATTATTGGCTGGACTGCTTGTATGGTGCTGTAAGCAAAATTGGATTTAACAAATCCTGCTTGGGTTAAACCCAGACAAAACAAAACGACGAGTAACTGAAACGAAATAATTATTACATAAAAATAAATTAAATATAATTTGATTTACTACCTTCATAGCTGTTGATTTTTCAAACTGATATGTTTATGATGTTTAATTCATATCCTTTTATACTAAAAAATCCCACCCTAATTTCCTTACGAAACTACTATACCAGTTTTTTTTATATTTGATCTTCAGATGCGTGCGGCAAGAATTAAGATCAAACTTGTGACATTTAAGAATTAGAGCTACGCCCAACGGAATAGAACAAGAAGAAAAAAAAAGAAAAGGGAAACTAGATTTATAGTTAATAAACTATGTCGCAATGCGTGATTTATTCGGCGATAAGTGCGAAAGTTTCAATGAGAATCCGATCGAAAACTTTTCTATATTTCATCTGTAATGCTAATAGAATTAGACTTTTTCCGTGATTTGTAATGCGCTCTCGCCCTATGCCCTTTCATCCGACGCTCCGGATTATCGCGAATGCAAATTCGAGCCCAGAAACATATAACAGAGAAAAAGAAGAAAAAAAGAAGGTGAACTCTTCTAATATATTTTTTTTTTCAATATGTATTTTGAATTCAATCCAGATTCTGCACTTACTTGTTCGAGGAATATCTTAACCCAGTTTATTAACATATTAGATTGAGTAATGATATTAGTATGTGCAATGACATTTCTTGTATTTATTATTTAATCATTTCTAAGAAATGTATTATTTTCTAGTAGAAACTTAAAAAAAAATAGTAAATAAATAAATAACTAATTGAAGGATTGTTAGAGAAACTACGTCAAGATCTTCCAGTTAAAACCGATGAAGAGGTTATCGCAAGTATGTAGAGGAAAATACAAATAACGGATTCATTTATGAATGAAATTTATTTAATTTTAAATAAATTTCATTCATAATTTTTCAGAAAAATTTCCATTACTTTAACTTTTATTGGTTTTTATATTCAATTCATACCAAGGTCTATATCGCAAGCCCGACAACCGAAAGAACGTCTATTGAAATCCCGACTGTATCGAAATCCCGACTATATCAAAATATCGACAACCATAATCTCGACTGTATCAGAATCTCGACAACCATAATCTCGACAAACATAATCCCGACTGTATCAAAATCCCGACTATATCGAAAATTTTTACAATAACATTTTTAAATTATTTCGGAGCGTAGTCACCTTGTATTACATTTTTATTATTAATAACAATAAATTATTATTAATTTATTTGATTTTGTTGAATTATTCATAATAAACCTTAACTTTATAAAATAATCTCAAATGCAATTAGATTATTAATTATTATTATTTATTATTAATAACAATTTAAAAGTCACTACGCTCCGGAATAATTTAAAAATGTTATTGTAGACATTTTCGATATAGTCGGGATTATGGTTGTCGGGATTTTAATATAGTCGGGATTTTGATATAGCCGGGATTATGGTTGTCGGGATTTCGATACAGTCGGGATTTCGTACGTTGGAAATTTGATTGACGGTATTTCGGTTGTCGGGCTTGGGATTGCCACCGGTATTATTATATAATAATTTACTTCGTTTCATAATGATACTTAGCTTAAGTAAGTTATTAAGTAGCTTTGTTCTTATTAGTCAAGTTATTATTATTATCCTGAATACTATTAACCTACTTTCAATTAAGTTCATCTACTTGTGATAACGTTCGTTTATATAATTATTTAATTTCACTGAAAAATAAAATAAAAAATTACCGTAAATTTCAAATATTCAAAATTATAACATTATTTTAATAAAAAATATAATAAATAAAATATTTTTTGCAGCAGTTGCACACATAAATTTAAATTGTAAATAAATAATTCTAATAATTTGCTTGGTTTTAAATCTATTTGGAAGATATTAATAAAAATTCCATGTATGGTTTATTTATGTAATTTATGTTCTCTTGCAAGTGGCAACTCCTTATGTTGCATATAGATATATCTCGAGACTTGTTTTTTCCAAGCTTAAAGCATTACGCACGTCGATTTGTTCCAGTTAGTTTTGCTTTCATTCACAATTTAATGGTTCTGAATTAATTTAATTACGTACACGCAGCACGTTTGTTGTTTTTTCTTCTTCTTCTTTTATCTCCGCTCGTTGCGTCGCTCGCACCGATGTTTCTTTATTTATACATTTGTTTTGTGGAAACGGTGGTGCCCTTTCGTGAGCGGTGGTCAAGTGCGATCGTTGATCCCTTAGCCATCGACCTTCGATGGAGTTATTTAAATGCACACCGGAAAGAAAATACAAAATGTCATTTGTTATATTGCGCGGAACGGAATCCTGCGGATGACAGGAAGGGCGACCGCCTCCGGTCCTCCTCTTCCTTGCCAACACGCTCCGCAAAAATCCTTAATGCATCCTTATTGAAATGCAATCACCAAAGGCCGACCTCTCCTCTCATCTCTTCTCTTCTCCTCAGCACGGGTGCGGTCGCAGCAGCAACGGACGACTACGAAAATTTATCACCATGAAAAACAGATCCAAGCTTGACCTTTAATTGCTACAGCCTACTTCTTCGCTTGTGAACCGTTGCGCAACGTCAGGAATGTAAACAGACGACGACGAGTGCGAAGAAGCTTTTCCGGATTCTGTGATCCAAATTATGTTGCACAAGCACAAAAGGAAGCTGCATCTTCAGCGATGTTGAGAAACAGGCGTGTGTTATCAGTCTTTTATCAATTGGATGCACTGCAACGCGATAACAAAAAAAATTTTAATAAATTATGCTCGTGAGGAATGCGATGGTATATAAGGAATCGGGGAAGCAGTATCGAAGTCTCCGTGAATTGGATCGTTTCGTTTCTGGTAAAAGGGTCAAGTAAACGCGATGATCAGATCAATCCAGCTCGTTTTCCTCATCTTCTGCGCTCTAGTTCGAGCTAATCCGTTGGTGCACACTTCGGTCACGACCAATAACATCACGGAATCGAAGACTCCGGACAGCTTCAGTAAGTGCTTTTTGTTAGATCTTTGTTCCCAAGAACTATCTCATCTTCGCTGGTCAACAGTTGAATTGCAGGTCCTCGATAAGCCCCATCACCTCTTCATAGGCAAGTGCACGCCAGGTCTGAAGGAGCTGCACAAGGAGAACGTTATCGTCAACAACGATGGAAAAAGCCATGTGACCGCCGAAATTAAGGTGATTACGAAGTGTTTTATTCAAAACTAATATCTTCACTGTACTTAATTCAATTAAACTAATTGATATTTATTAATACTCGGTTTCATCTTGCGTAACAAGTATTTGAAAATCCATCAGGCTTTTACTCAAGGTAATTAGACGCATTGTATATATCTCTTTTATAATGCGGCATACACATATTCCAGTTTCATCTCTCAATTAACATCCGCTCAAGGACGAAATCGTATCGTATCAAAAGCGATATATTTATTTATTTATTTGCGCGAAAACAAGAAAAGGCGAACGCACCGATGCGGATAATTGAATTTTTAAAAATACATTCATTAACAACGGTATTCTTTCTTTGGTTCAAAACTCATCACGGTAAATACCACTGAACAATAATTAAAGCATTACCTGTACCTATTTACTGAACAAACTCTTCGCACGCTTCATCTCCAACAAAGTAAATTCAAGGACAATTCTCTGAGTCATAACTCTTTCATATATTTGGTACATTTGTCTAGCCACTAATAAAACAAATAAAACAAAAGTTTGCAATCTATTAATCGCAGTTGGGAGAAGTTTAAAAAATAAATATAAAAGTTCTTTATTATTCGATTAATCATTCCAATAGGAAACAATCAATGTAGAGGAAAAAAGTAAATCTATAATAAAGAACCGAAAAAAAAACGTAGTTTCCTATTTGTTTAGTCATTGCATTCAAATCGAATGTGTAACATGTAACAGTTATTATTTTTTTTTATTGTTAAAGTAATTATTTTTTCAACATTTCTTGGCTAGGTTAAATAGTTTTCAACAAATGTTGAGTAAATAATAGATTTTCAGATGATAAAATTAATTATTTAATGAATTACTTAAAGAATTTAACGATTTTAATCAAGAAAAGTGTAGAATATAAATAAAACATAATTAAAGATGATTGGTCGGAAGTAAACATCTAGAATTAATGAAGGGTTTTATTTATTCATAGATTAAAAGGTTAAGGACTTTCGCCTCCCCGTTTTATTGCGTGTGCACTTTTTAGATTATTTTCTTTTGATTTTGAGAGCAGGGCAAGGCAAGGCACAGCTCGGGGAGGCGCACATAAAGTTCGTCATTATAGTTAAAGCCAAATAAATAATTGATTCGGCAAGTTCGGGTTCTGCTGCTCCGCTCGATGCAGATAAATTTTAATTAGATCTTGCTCCAGTTAAAGTGCAGTTTCGATGTTAGGCAATGATTTAAATATGATGTAAACAACCAAAAAAAATAATAATTAAAAGAAATTGATGTAAGGAAAAAAATAGATGATGATGAAAATTTATGTATTTTATTGATTTGAATTTATTTTCTGTTTTAGTTCCAAGTTGAGGGTCCTGTTGATATCAGGTGTGTGAGGATTATGGACGAGGCACCTGCGAGTCAGGCATATCCTCAATACTTGGACGGAGGTGTCGGGGAGAATTTTGTAGTGATCGCGGTGTCGACTGTTTACGGAAAAGGGTTCCACTTCTATGTGGAGATACTGGGACATGACTTGAAGAAAGAAGACTAACTTGTATTTGTTTGTCTCTATTTGTTTATATTATATTACGTTCTTTTAAAATGTATTATTATTGTATTTTTTTTTGCCAGTTTTAAGATAGCACATGTATTGTTAGCGGAAATAAATAACTATTCGTTAAAGTAAATAATGGACGAACACCGATCACGAGTTGCCCTTCCTCTCGTCCTTTATTGGGAACGGCGGAAGCACATCGGGAATGTCGGGGTTCTTCTTAAAATTGATGGCCGGCTTTGGGGATTCCTCCTTGACGGTTTGCTGCTGCGGCTCCACGTAGATGGGATGCTGGTAGTACGGAAGCGCTGGGTACAGGTATTCCTGCCTGTAGCCATATGGAATGTATGGGTCATAAGCGAGCGGGTAGAGCGAACCGTGGTATGCGAACTGCACCTTGCCTCCACCATCTGACTGTGCAGTTTCCTGGCGATCAGAGAAGCAAAATAGTAAAAAGTAAAAGTTACCTAAGGCAAAGGACGTTTTTTTTTTTTGCGTCTCCACTTGTTCTCGTCTTTCCTTCCTCGTCGTTGGAAACATTACCTTGTCGAGCTGCGTGGGTTGAATAGTGCGCCGAGGCGGTGGGTGCACCACGATGGGCGGAAACGCGACACCCAGGGCCGTCGTCCTCAGCACGGGCTCTATGATCGGAAACGCCTGGCTGGGGGTGAGATTCGCGTCGGAGGTGATGAGCGCGTTGTAGATTTTCGGGCCTCGTACTAGGCCGCCAATGCATCCACACACGAGGACACCCATGATCACCAGGAGGCCGTGGAACACCATGGTTCTTCTAAGAAGTTCTGTTCAAAGCAATTCTTATTAACTGGGCGCACTGATTGCTGTCACTGCGCGAACTATTGCAAATTGCACGTTCCGCGAGGATACCTCATGCCTCGTGCCACACCACCACGAGCAAAATGCCTTCCTCGAGACGCCGGGCCTTTTATATAGCAATTGCTCGGTGTCGTCTGTAGGTTAGGTGTTTTATACAACCTACCTTAGACGGATTTTTACACAGACTTCCCTTCACCATCGCACACGAGTGCAGGCGATTTGCATACACGATCGCGTTTTTGCTCCTTTCTTTATTATCCTGCACGGCGATTGGTTTTCCGACAATGCAACAAACAAGAAGGAAACACTATCGAAACGGGTCATTGGGACGGCTTTCCCACTCGCACTTCCAAAACGATAATTAATAGATGCTCAACATTCCTCACCTTATCACCATCATCATTATTATTTCGCTTGCAGATTTTTACTTATCCTTGTTGTTTATTATTTTCCGCTGCATTCTGCGAGGAAGTAGGCTCTCTCGCATAACTGTATATCTAATAATGAAAACTAGTTGCTGATGGAGATGCAGCTTCTCCGACTAACGGTATAACAGGAATCAATTTGATGTATGGACTGACGAGATAATATGCTAACATTCGCGTTATCAACCCAATCGATACCTTCTTCTTTTAATCCGCTTTGCCGTATTTCGCTATAACCGATTCCACACGCCGTAATGAGCTGCCGTTTCAAATAATTACACGCTGCAACCGCGCTAATTTGCATATCAACACACGTACACAAGCCGTGTGATTCCATCTACATATTCATCCCTGTCGCCTCCCCCATCTTACCAATTCATACAGCATTTCATTCTATTGAATTACAGAAACATCTTTACACCGCGCACATCATTCAAGCTGATTGGATTTCGCACAAATATTTCAAAATACTCTAATGACACTACATTTCAAATACAGCAACTAATAACAATATATATATACAGTTAACTTATATAATCATGTATAATGTTAGTATTGTTTTAATGAGCCTCTGATGGAAAGAAACAACAAATTTTATCGAAGCCCTTGAATAGCAGTCGAGATTGATATTCTCCCTCATTTTCTCGGTAATTGTGTTATGGAACGCGAACGCGAGATAATTACCCGTACAATAATATGAATATATACAAACGAATTTATTTCTCTTTTGTTCAAAAACAATGCGATATAAATTTCAATGTTAACAGCAACAGCAACAGCAACAATAATAATCATAATAATTATAGTAAATAATAATTGCGAATCATTTATTTATTTGCCTTTTGTTTTCTAAATGTCAATGAAAAACTGCAATCGCTCCGACACAGTGCTCGGACCTGCTGCGAGGGTGAGGGTGGGAGGGTGGTTGTATGTATGGTGGAGAGCCGGTGTTTGTTCGCTGTGTGTTATATGTTATATGCATGTCTGTGCTGTGTGTTTTTTCCACCCTCATTTTGCCTGCCGAAATAATTTACTTATGAAAATGTGAAACACTCTGTGTATGCTCGACGGGATCGTGTGCTGAATTGAAATTTCATGAACCGGACCAACCCCGTTCATAAAATAGGCAAAATACTGTAAACTATTTTGCTCGTTCCGTGAAGTGCTTCCAACCCTAACACATCCACTTGCATATTGCAATACGGGAATGAACCGAATGAAATATATAAAGCACACGCGTACCGTGCCGTTAATGAACGCCACTTGTGCCAACCAATGCTTCTTCCTTCGAATCGAACCCAAATTCCAATTGCTACAACGACGACGATGGATGCTATGCGATGCCTTCAGGATATCGACGATGTATGCAGTCACTGACAACTGTACAATTACTCATTTGAGGGCAACATTGTCATGTATTTAATGAGAGGATAATTTCATCCTTGCGGTGGCATACGTGGGCTCGCCTTGGGCTCGCCTTGGGCTGACGTCTGTGCAGCTGCCTTGAACAGAGGGAGGCAACCCTTGCCCGTTCGTGTGAATCTCTGTACGTCCATCAAGCTGCATCTGATGTGTTTAATTTATTTTTGTCCACTTCCCTGGGAAAACACACCAACCGTCTACTCTAGTATAGTATAGTTTGGGGAACTTTCATACGAAACAACTTCATCATATTTGCCGCTTATTTCAGGCAATTTGTTTACCAACAAAGGGATACATTAACGCGGATGAAACGCAGGTGGAACGGCAATAACCAAAGCAAAACATCCGTTTGTTTGCTTTTGTCCTCGGAGCTTGTTGTTCGTCGGTGCTGTAAAATTGATCGTGGATATAAATGTATCGCTCTGTATACGCGCGTGGATGGTTGAAATAAAAAACCATTTGTATAGTCGAGCATTGTATATTTGCCTATTAATCTGCATGTGATATGTTTTATGTGTGCTCCAACCACATTCTGTGTCATTACGCAAAGCAATTCATATAATTGTGGTTAAACGCTTAACGCGGATTTGCATATCATTTTTGACTTGTTTTAAGTTAACACTGACATTCTGCATAGAAAAGCCTTCATGCTAATTACAAAATAACAGAAAACTTGCATATTATCGTTTTATATCTCATGTTGTATACTGAATACAATTTATATCTTAAATTTATATAAACATAATTTTTATATTTTTCTTTGTTTTTTCATTTTTTTGAATAATTTACTAAAAATGTGAATAAATCAAAAAATGAATGTGATTTTAAGCAGATGTTAATTAATTATGTAATTAAATTTATTTTCTATTAAAAGTTTCAATTATGTAATGAAATTCGTAATAATTTACTAAAAAGTTTGATGTGATTAATCCGAACTTTACAAAGTGTTTTACAATAATTATCATTATTACAGGTTACACAATCATATTTTTTTTTTGTTCTTTCATTTCTTTAAATAATTTACTAAAAATGTGAATAAATCTAAAAATGAAAGTAATTTAAAACAGATGTTAATTAATTATGTAATTACATTTATTTTCTATTAAAAGTTTCAATTATGTAATGAAATTCGTAATAATTTACTAAAAATTTTGATGGCATTAATCCGAACTTTACAAAGTGCTTTACAATAAGTATCATTATTAGAGGTTGCACAATCATATTTTTTTTGCTCTTTCATTTCTTTGAATAATTTACTAAAAATGTGAATAAATCTTAAAATGAATGTAATTTTAAACAGATGTTAATTAATTATGTAATTACATTTATTTTCTATTAAAAGTTTCAATTATGTAATGAAATTCGTAATAATTTACTAAAAAGTTTGATGTGATTAATCCGAACTTTACAAAGTGCTTTACAATAATTATCATTATTACAGGTTACACAATCATATTTGTCTTTGTTCTTTCATTTCTTTGAATAATTTACTAAAAATGTAAATAAATCTTAAAATGAATGTAATTTTAAACAGGTGTTAATTAATTATGTAATTACATTTATTTTCTATTAAAAGTTTCAATTATGTAATAAAATTCGTAATAAATTACTAAAAAGTTTGATGTGATTAATCCGAACTTTACAAAGTGTTTTAAAATGATAATTATTACAGTTTGCACAATCATATTTTTTTTTGTTCTTTCATTTGTTTGAATAATTTACTAAAAATGATTACACGAAATGTGTATAAATATTAAAATGAAAGTATTTTTAAACAGATGATAATTAATTATGTAATTACATTTATTTTCTATTAAAAGTTTCAATTATGCACTGAAATTTGTAATAATTTACTAAAAAGTTTGATGTGATTAATCCGAACTTTACAAAGTGCTTTACAATTATCATTATTACAATTTGCACAATCATATTTTTCTTTGTTCTTTCATTTTTTTGAATAATTTAGTAAATAGGTCTTTCTGCCCTACTTTGCGTTATTATTTGTATTAATAAATTCAAAATGTATAATAAATACATTAATTCGATACCAAATTGTGCACGTAATCATATACATATAATTAAGTGCACAATTTAATAAGAAGCATCATGGTACAATTATAAGTGATTTACGGATGGAAATGTTTTCTGGAAATCGGAGTAACTAGAAGACACACAGAGTTGACCTTGAAATGAATAATGCTAGGGTAAAGTAAACTCGATACGAAATTGCGGTCATAATTCAATAATTATTTATGCATCGAGACGCAGTAAAAAGTGATTTATTGATGGTGTACAGGAATCTGCGGTACAGTTAGGAATTGGCGCAAGCAAAACCTACAAATCCCTTAGGCCTTCTTCTTGTTTTTGTTCTTCTTACGTCGTTCGCTTAATTTGCGCAAAATATTCGATGCGGCTGTGAATCATGTGTGTGTATCGATTTGCGTGGCTGCAAAATAATTTATGGCCAGATCTAAACAACAAAACGCCGCTAATTGTGTTTTCTCTCGCCGTTATCATCATTGCTCGTGCTACTTTCGCGAGTGAAAATGATGATTGATGATCGTCGCCTGTCTCTTTTATTCGCGCGCATTTATTTACGATTATTGCGACTCCTTCAGATCCGGCAATTAGCGCAGCCAACCAAACAGCAGAGACAGATGCCTATCCAGATACCTTAAGGCTTATAAGTATAGGTTTAGTACACCATACACCTTCAAATGTATATTTTTTTTTACTTTATTTATATCAATGAAATATGTTTTGATAATGGTAAAAAAATCGTAAATATTAATAGAAATGGAAACAGTTTCGGGAGTAGGAAGAAATAACTATACATTTCCCTGTTTTAATATACCTAAAGGCTTATAAGTGTATCTGAAAAGTACAGGTATTATATACAGATACCTTAAGGCTTATAAGTATAGGTTTAGTACACCATACACCTTCAAATGTATATTTTTTTTTTACTTTATTTATATCAATGAAATATGTTTTGATAATGGTAAAAAAAAATCGTAAATATTAATAGAAATGGAAACAGTTTCGTGAGTAGGAAGAAATAACTATACATTTCCCTGTATTTCATATACCTGAAGGCTTATAAGTGTACCTGAAAAGTACAGGTATTATATACAACTTTGATGCTAAAAATTCAATTTTGTTTAATAGGAAGAAATAATTATACAGCATTATGAAATATAAATGATTTTCCCAGGAATATCTCTATTGGCCTTTATGGAACAATCGAACATGCAATTAATACGAGTTACGCATTTCATATGA